AAAAAAACAACAACGCCAATCACAATCACCACTATCATCATCTACACATCTATACTACCCTACAGTACATGATTGATCTCCCAAAGATCATATACAAAAAGACTTCTCATACTCAGTTGTATTCACCATAAAAATTTCCTAATAAAATTCTATAGTAACCATCTTCTTGCCGATCGCCACAGTCGATCGACAATATTGGTGTCTTGTTTTCCTTATACTCATATTTTATTTCGATATTTCAATATCTGTATCATTAAAGCACATAATAATTATACTGTAACCCTTAATTAAACTATCTTAAACCTATTTTCTGTAACCATTGGCGGCCGACCGTCAACAAAATTTATTCATAAATCATTACAATCCTACTCCTACTAAGTATTTTGTAGTCAACTCCGCTACCTGCTCAACAACTTGCCATCTCAGAGCCAGACATGCTCATCTCGCATCAACTCGCTAATTCTGAACTCAAAGTCGCCTAAGCCCAGGTCGTCCACTCGACCTCTAACGTCTAGTAGCCCACCTTTGCCAGTCCCACATATCGCTTTTGAGTTGAGTTAAGGAAGCTCCGATTTTGATCCGAGATGTAAGAGCTCCGATCTGAATTCGAGCTGAAATGGTTACAACTTTATATATATGTGCANCAAAACAAAAAAAAAACATATGAATTGAGCTTTCTGGATGAGCAGAGTAGAGTTACTCTGTATGCATTTGATACAGAAACATGGATTAGTGGAATATTGTATAATAACTCAATCTTGTATTAATTAAAAAAAAATCAAGCTTATGACTTTGGTTTATTTAAGTGGGACAAATCACAACGGTTGGCCACGTTGTGTCCGCCATCGCTTGATCCAATAAATCAGATTATTAATTTCATGATAACCAAGTTCGTTTTGTAGAATAATGTGACTGGTAAATTGGTTTTAGTGAAGTTGTTGGAAAGTATATGTGTTTTATCAAATTATAAAATACTAGTACGAATTCCGTGCGATGCACGGGTAAGAGATATTCATTAGTATTTATAAATTAAAAATGATTATTAGATAATATTTATATTAAAAATATTGAATCAATATGTAATACGTTTACCTATATTAATTTATTGAAAATATTATATAAATTTCATATCGTGCAAAATTACATAAAACATGTCAATTTAATTAGTATACAACCCGTATGGTGCACGTAACTGATAATAAATTACATTATATTTATTTCAAAATAAGTGTTATTTTAAAATATTTATTCAAAAATTCGATTGGACTACAATGTGATTCCATAAAATAATTCTTTTGGTAAAATTTTATCATATGTTTAAAAATCTATGTGAATAATAAGTACAATTATAAAACTTATAGTGTTCATTAATTAAAATGAATTTAATTTTGTATAAACTATCAAAATAACAAAATTTAAGTTGTTGAGTAATTTATTAAACTATAATAATTGACTATTTCATTTATGCCTAAGTTAATATTGACACGTAAGTTATGAATAATTATTTATTTGACTTTTAAATTTGAAACCCAAATTTGAACTATACGATAAATTTCCTTATATATATATTCCCTTATATATAAATTCCCTTATATACATATTATCTCACAATTTTCTAGAGTTGTTGTCGGTTAATTTTTAAATTTTATTAACCAATATTTGTTCAAAGATGTTTATAATTTTCAAGAGGAATACATACCATTTTGTCAAATTATCATTAATATTTTTTGGCAAGTTATTATAGAAATATGCTAAATTTTGAGAAACATATTACCTTGATTTTATAACAAATCAACCTAAAATTCGACTTTCATACCCATAAAAAAAAATCATTTTTCAATATCTTTTTGTTCGAAAAAGATACATTTATCCTTTAAAAGAGTTTGGATTGCGTAGAGTTTTCATGGTGTTTTGCTTGATGAGTCTCATGATTTCTTATCAATACAGAATATCTATTTGTTCTTTATGTTTTGCTTGATTTTTTGATGAGTGGGGATACAATAACAACTCAGAGTGTGTATGTTATTTATAGGCAAATTAAGTGTTAATTTAATAGGTGAAAAAAAATATCTCGATATTAGATGATTGGAGCGTTAGAATGATATTATCTAAATATTTGAAATGATATTCGCGTACATTATTAAAATTTGGAATGATTTGATATTATCCATCAAATTAAACAAAAATTATATGTGGTAATATCTCTTTATTTTAGTATAAAAAAATAAATGGGCTCACTTATGTTTTTTTTTCCCCTTGAGTTGCGATATTAATACATAAGCTTAGCCATTTCAAAATCTTTTTAGATTAATAGTTTTTTTATCCACAAATTTATCACGATAGGAATGCTCATAAAAATAGAAGAAACAAGGTTCAAATACAAAGGTACAAGCCCGAAGCTGAAGGCAAAGCCAGAGAGCACTACTAACAAAGTAGGCTAAACAACCGCAAAAACTAACCAAATGTTCTAAAATACATCAAAGGCAGCTGATAGCTGAAACCTCCAATACAGAACACATGAATACTAACTAAAAGTACAAAACAAGGATCTAACCACTGAACTACAAGTAGACCTAGAAAGAACCTTGTAATGACTCATCTTCACTTCCATCTGGTTTTAGCTTCTTGCCATTCCTTGATAGCCCCATTTGAGATGTTCCTTTCTGGTCTCCATTGCTTTTCGAACACCCACAGGTTCCTTGACTTCCATAGCCACCAGAGAATGTACGTGGTGAGCTCGATTCTAGCCTCTGCCACTCTGGTGTCCCCTATGGTGCAGATGGTGCCCTACCAGTCACTGAATTTGTAATCTTCCCTGCAGATCCCCTCCCAACTAACCGAGCTTAGCTTCCAAACCTGTTGTGCTCTTGGACAATGCAGAAAAAGGTGTTCTACTGTCTCTATAGCCTCACCACAACAGCCACACATTGCATCAATCTCAATTCCCTTCCTCCTCAGATTAGCAGCAACAGCCAAAGTATTGGAACAGCAACTCCACAGGAAATGTTTTAATTTACCTTTTACCTTCAGATTCCAACTTCTGTGTCTGATGCCCTGGTTCCTTTTGGCTGTTCCACTTCCTTCTGGAATATCAAGAGCAAGCAGCTTCCTTTTTTGTAGGTGTGCATAAGAGGAAGAAACAGAGAACTTTCCTTGAGCCCCAAAATTCCAGCTCCAAGTGTCCTGATGATCCAGGTTCACTGATTTGATTTTGAGAATTTCTGTGCAGTCATTTTCATCAAACAGAGCTCTGATTTTCTCCTCATCCCATCTACCTTCATTGGTAAAGAGTTCATTCACCCTGAGCTGTCCCTTGTCTTGGCCTGTTTTGAACTTTAGTGCTCTTCCTCTGATCCCAGGAACCCAGTGGAAATCCTGGAGTCTAACTGAAACCCCATTTCTGATGACCACATTAAGACCATCCTTGAGCAGCCATCTTACTTTGAGCCAGGATCTCCACAGCCATGAGGAATTCTGTTTAAGTTCAGCATCAAAGAGGGAAGATTGGGGGAAGTACCTGCTTTTTAGGATTCTGCACATAAGGAGTTGGGGTTGAGTTATGAGCCTCCACAACTGTTTGACAATCATAGCATCATTGAAAAGAGAAATATCTTTGAAGCCCAAACCCCCTTGTCTCTTTGAGAGTGTCAAGAGATCCCATCTCTTCCAGTGGATACCTTTAGAATGGTCACAGCCTTTACTCCACCAGAATTTGGCACAGATACTGACCACTTCCTTACAGATGGCAACAGGCAATTTGAAGACAGACATAACAAAAAGGGGGAGAGCATTGAGTACTGCTTGCACAAGGACTTCCTTTCCAGCAGTTGAAAGAAATTTGGAATTCCAGCTAATAACTCTGCTTCTCACAGCCTCAGTTACAAACCCAAACACTTCCTTTTTAGAATGACCAATCCCTAAAGGTAAACCAAGGTATCTCGAAGATCTTTGAATATTAATACCAGGGAAGTAGTGGCAGACTGAGGTTTGAGTATGAATAGAGGAGTTCTTGCTAAAAAAGATAGGCAGTGTTGACTTTCTGACCTGAGAAGAGCTGATATTTGTCAAGAATAGCTTTCACCACTCCAGCTTGATACTCATCAGCCTTGCAAAATAGGAGTGAGTCATCTGCAAAAAGCAGATGAGTGAGAATAGGAGCATTCCTGGCCAGGGTTATGCCTCTGTAAGTTCCTCTTTCTTGAGCAGATGAGATCATAGCAGATAGGACTTGAGATACAATAATAAAGAGGTAAGGGGACAGTGGGTCCCCTTGCCTAATTCCTCTCTGAGCTGTGATATGTCCACAAGTGCTGCCATTCAGGAAGAAAGAGAATGAAACTGTAGATACACATGCCAGTATCCAATTGACAAACTGGTGAGCAAACCCCATTTTTAGCATAGTAAGTTTGATGCAGTGCCACTCAATCCTATCGAAGGCCTTCATCATGTCAAGCTTAATGGCCATAAAGGTGTGCTTGCCTGAATGGTGTCTGTTCAAAAAGTGGATTCCCTCATTTGCAATGATCACATTATCAGTTAGTTGTCTCCCAGGCAGAAAGGCTGATTGTGCTTCATGAATGCAGGCACTAAGACAGTTTCTAAGCCTTCCAGCTAATATTTTGGAGATTAATTTGTAGACCACTGCACAAAGACTTATAGGCCTGAATTGGCTCAGGTGGTCAGCGTTAGCACACTTGGGGACAAGGGTAATCAGAGTATGATTCCAATAATTTAAGAGCCTGCCAGATTGAAAAAAACTCACCACTGCAGCACATAAATCATCTTTAATCAGGGGCCAGAAGTGTTGGAAAAAAAGTGCAGGCATTCCATCTGTGCCAGGGGATTTGCTGGGATGCATGGAAAAAAGAGCTAGCTTGATTTCTGGTTCCTCTACAGGAGCTGTGAGATCTTCATTAACAGAATCTGTGATAGATTGTGGCACATCTTGAAGAATGCTTTCTCCCCCCACAGACCCCTCAGAAGAGAACAGGTTTTGATAGAAATTCTCAATGTGCTCTTGGATTTCCTCTTTGGAGTTGTAAACTCTCTGATCATCATCAACTAGCCTGCTAATTGCATTGAGTCTCCTTCTCTGCATAACCCAGGCATGAAAGAACTGAGTGTTTTGATCTCCTTCTTTCAGCCACTGGGTTCTAGCTTTTTGCTGCCAATAGAGCTCCTCTGACAAGTTAGCTTCATCCATTTCTCTTTGGAGTCTATCCCATTCAACCCAATCTCTGTTCCCACCAGCTTCTCTCATTTCTTCTAGCTTGAGTGATAAACCTTGCACTTTAGAAAGATGTTGAGATCTGAAGTTCCTACTCCATTGCAATAGAGCAGCCCTGGTGTTCTTGATCTTTTCCTTAAGGCAGAATAGTGGTGTGCCAAATTGTTGTACATTCCAGGATTTCTGAATTGTCTCTTCTAATCCCTCCCTATTGATCCATCTTTTGTCAAATTGGAACCTCTTCTTGAAGTCAGGATTTTTGGGTTCATCATCAAGCATTAGAAGATAGTGGTCAGATGAGCTTTTGAAGAAGGAGGTTGTCACTGTGTTGGGATAAGCTCTGAGCCAGTCTATGGAGGCAAAAGCTTTGTCAAGGGCTTCCTCAATAAACCCTTCATGTTCTCTGTTATTGCCCCAAGTAAATGGATATCCTCTGGTCATCACTTCAGCCATCCCCATCTGAGCTATAAAAGTTTGAAACCCCAATAGGCTGGTTAGGGTTCTCCTCCTACCTCCTTTCTTGTCTTCAGCCTTAGAGAGATCATTCCAGTCACCTATGATGCACCAGTTATCTCCCCAATGAGGCTTCTTCTGATGTAACTCCTCCCATTGAACTTCTCTGGTGCTTCTGTCAGTGCTGAGATAGACAAAAACCAGCCATCTAGGGAGATCCTGGCCCTTAATTATAAATTGGGCTTCTATACAGTAAGTCTCATATCTCATGTCAAGAATCTCCACTTCAGCTGTCCAGGCCAAAAGAAGACCTCCACTAAGTCCTCTTGGCTCCACTTGCATATTCCTGCTGGCAAAACCCAGTTTCTTGCAAACAATAGTAGTAAAAACTTTATTATTTTTGGTTTCAGACAGAAAAATAAAGTGAGGGTGGTGGGATCTTATAGATTCCCTCAGCTGGGAAACTGTGGAGGCCCCACCCAGGCCTCTACAGTTCCACACCAGAGCCCTCATTGGTCACCTTGGGGCCATTTGAGGCTGGCCTTCTCCACCTGAGCTGGGATGATTCTGAGCTTCTTGTTTTCAGATTCTGAGGGATCAATCTCTTCATCTTCTGTTTTAGTTATCCAAAAATTTATCAAATAAGTGTTTGGTGAAGATTTACCAAAATCTTTTTAGATTAGTAGTTAGTTATCCACAGATTCCATCATGGGTTATCCACAGATTATTGTTCTAATATTATCTCTACACCATTAATTTTGAATTCAAATTGTGAGTAAAAAAAAAACTACACTATTATTGTTTTCAAGCTTTCTATAAATAGAATGTCAAAAGTATTATTTATTTAGTCAAAAATTTCCAAAAATGATTTAACCAACAATCTTTTTTATATATAGATATATAGATGTTATTATTTCAAATGATACCAAGGTTCTTCCCTTTTTTCCTCAGAAAAAGAAAAAGGCGTAAAATTTTAGATATTTTGGCAAACCTTTAAAGATTCTTGTGTAAAAATTTTATTCTCTCTTTTCAATTTCAGAAATTAGATAATAGGTCATAAGTTTGACCAAAACCTCTTCTTGGGTTAGTTTTATCATTTATGCACGCACAACTTACCTTTATTTCACCAGGTAGATTGACAATAAATTAGGCACTACCTTAACGGTGAGAAGAAATGACCAAATGGTAAACTGACAATAATGATTAAAATGCCCTAGGAATTATGACATTGTCACCAAATTCAGCACTCGTGTCTTTAATAGTGATAACAAATTATTACAAGATATTACATTTTGTAAATACCAACCAAGCCTAATCCCTTTCGAAAAAATAAAACTACTGCCAATGGAAAAAAGCAATGACCATTACTTCAACTGACATATCCCTTTAATTATCAAATTTCCACACCAGAAAGGGACTTGAAAATAAATAATTAATAAAACTAAGAAAGATATCATTGCTGAAAAATATCACGAATGAGGACAGATAAACATGTTTTCTATTGAAATGTCATAATTATAAAAATAAAATAAAATAAAGTATGATAATTTGTTGTAGATAATTATTCTTTTTATTTATTAAAATATAATGAGTAAATCCACGTAATTGTAATGCTGCTCAAACACATTCTTGTGTTATGTATTATAAAAAAAAGTGATAATAAAATAGCAAAATTCGCATCCGTAAGTCTTCTATCTACTAGGCTATCTAACAATTTGATAGTCAATACTCTTTTACAAACCAATTGTTATGTGAAGTCAACTTTTTATACCAACAATGACATATTATCTAAGTATACGTAGTAATATTAATAATAATAATAACAAGAAAAAAAACACAATCTGCTCTATTTAAATTATACTTTTTATTTGACATGTATAAAAAGTTGACCGCAAAGTATACAACCAATTAATGACTTCATAGAAAAATTGTTTATAAAATATGTGTATTTTTACTTACAAATTTTAAATTATTATATAAATAAAATATGGTATTTTGAAACATTTTTGTAAGAAAGTATAAATACATAAAGCCTAATTTGGCTCCACAGATTTTTTTGCTTATAAAATATGTATACAGTATTTTTATACTTCGATGATCTATTCTAAAATATAATATAAACTGAAAATACGATATTTTAAAAGTTTTTTTTATTAAAAGAAAAAAAAAAAAAAAAAAACTTAACTGTTCATACTTGCGACTTTGGAGATTGGATAGTAGGAATTACAGAGTTTAGTACAATATGCACTATAATACTATATATAGTACTAGTACGGGACCTACGGGTCCTCTCTCTTACACTCGCCGGACCCCGTTCGCCGGCACAATTCAGCTCAAGTCAACTCTTCTAGCACATCTCGGCCGGTTTGCACGCACCGCCGCTATCGGATTAACTCTGAAAATCGATGCGCCTCACATGAAAGCACAATTAGCCTTTCCATTTCTGACCTCACCGCAAATCGGAGATTTGTGCATTCCTATACCGATTCCGAGCTGCATGTTTGCGTCTCTCACTCCACTCGCCATTTTCAAGCACTATTTATCACTCTCCACGCACACAGACAGCTGATTGACGGCTACGATGTCTGTTTACGGTGCTGCGTTTGCAGGCGCCGAGCTCTCGAAGAAGACCACAATCTTCGGTCTTCATCTATGGACGGTCGTCGGAATAATCGTCGGAGCGGCTATTGTGCTCATCCTCTTTTTGCTGTCCATCTGCCTCACGGCCTCCCGCCGCCGCAGCAGCAGCGGCAAGGGAAAACTCCACCGCCCGGCAAAACTCGAGTTCACCCCCGTCGTCGCGAAGGAGATCGTCCACGACTCCTCCGCCGCCGCCGCCGCCGATCACCGTACGGTTGTGCCTCAGGTATGTTGCCCAAGATCTGATTCTTATATCTTCACATAATTCGTTAATTGACAAGTTTTCCTCACTGTTGGAAATCCAACTGATGGAATTAGTTAATAAATTGATTTTCCATATACTGACAGGATCATCTTCAAATAACAAAGTTCTCGGTTACAGTTCAGTCATGCATTTCAAAATCCTTATGTAATATGTAACCAGCAAATTTGGGATGCTAACTGTTTGCCTAATTTTGGTTCAATTGATAACTGGTTCGTGATTTTGATTTCCCATTTAAAATTTTCAGGCCGTGCCAGAGATACAAATAGATATGGGCAAGGTGGAGCATCGAGTGGTGTTTTCTGATAGGGCATCGAGTGGCGAGAGCAGGGCCACAAGTGGGCCCGACACAGCTTCCTTTGGAGGTAGCGGGTCATTGCCGGAAGTATCCCATTTGGGATGGGGAAGATGGTATACTTTGAGAGAGCTTGAGGCGGCCTCTAATGGATTGTCGGACGAGAATGTGATTGGTGAAGGTGGATATGGTATTGTGTACTATGGAGTTTTGGCGAATAACACCCGGTTGGCCATCAAGAATTTGTTAAATAACAAGTAAGGAACTTTCTTTATTTGCTTGTTTTTCTTAATTAGTTATTTTTTGCGATTCGTAAGACAGCATGATGATTGGGTTTGTTTGTTGGCATGCTGTATTAGTTCTTATGTTTCATGTGGGTACATGGTTTTTATAGTTATATTTGGGAAGATCTATAAGTTTGCAGTAGTTACTTTTGTGTATTGAGTGGAGGAAATGGCTTGTTAATTATGATAGATTTGAATTCAGTAGCAGGTTGTATTCTGTTTGAAATTTGGTTCCCTTCATTTGTATTCTTGGGTAATTACCAGATTTGGAGTCAGAGCATTCAATTTGTGTCCTTAATTTTATTTTCTTGGCCTAGAGTCCAGTTACCGTTTTCATTTTTTTCTTTGCGAGATAGAGAGTGAAATTTATTTCGGTTTAAACTAAATAATTGGAGGATGAGGAAACACTTTNTTTAACGCGGGGGATGTTAGACCCAGTTTATATCACAAATTTCAGTTATGCTCTTAAGACACTAATGATGTTTTTCTCTGGTTTTCTGTTATCTCACGGAAGAAACTTTGAACTTTTTCTGACAAAAATTTTAAAAGATTCAGTTGTTCAAATGTTAATTCATAATGTATTTTGCCATTACACCTAAGTGTATACTAATTAATGTTCTCAGGGGTCAAGCTGAAAAAGAGTTCAAAGTGGAGGTGGAAGCAATTGGACGTGTTAGACACAAGAATCTTGTTAGGTTGCTCGGCTACTGTGTTGAAGGAGCTTACAGGTATTTGTAATTATTTTGTTATGGTAACTTAAACTTTATACTTGTACATAAAAATATTAGGTTGTTATGGTAACTTAAACTTTATACTTGTACATAAAAAAGTTAACTACCTCTTCCAATTTCTTATTACGTAGGATGCTAGTCTATGAATATGTGGATAACGGAAATTTGGACCAGTGGCTTCATGGTGATGTAGGCAATGTCAGTCCTTTGACCTGGGAGATCCGTATGAATATAATTCTTGGAACTGCAAAGGGGTATGGTGTTATTGTGCTTACTTGTAACATACGACATAGTTTTTGCCTAGTCACTTACTTCTTGAGCTCGTCTTTGTGCCAGCCTAGCGTATCTACATGAGGGTCTCGAGCCAAAGGTTGTTCATCGAGACATCAAGTCCAGCAACATACTCCTTGACCGTCAATGGCATCCTAAGTTGTCTGATTTTGGGCTCGCTAAACTTTTGAATTCGGAGAACTCTTATGTGACTACTCGAGTGATGGGAACTTTTGGGTTAGTTAGTTGTTGCTATTAAAAAATTTTCTTTTGTGTTTTACTTCTAGTGAAAGAAGGGTGCATTAAGTGGATACTGGACTTGACAATGATCATCCTTCTGCTAGATATGTTGCTCCGGAATATGCTTCCACGGGTATGCTGAATGAGAAGAGCGACATATATAGCTTCGGAATATTGATTATGGAGATAATTACTGGAAGATGTCCTGTTGATTATAGCCGGCCACAACCAGAGGTTAGTTTAAAGGATAAATTACTAAAATTAGCCCTTAAATTTGTTGTTTATCTTTTTACCAATCATAAACACCCACTTGACATCTTTATTTGCTCGAAAATTTCATCAGAGTGAATACGAACAAATATCTTAACTATAATTGGACTGAACTTCGACTTTATTATTTGTAACTAATCCAATCTTCATTCAATAACTGCAAAATTGTTGATATTTGTGCAGTCACTGATGATCAGAAACTATTAATTGCAGGTTAATTTAGTTGATTGGCTGAAGATGATGGTTGGGAACCGGCAAACGGAGGAGGTGATAGATCCTAAGTTACCTGAAAGGCCTGCTTCGAAAGCACTGAAACGTCTTATTCTGGTAGCCCTACGATGTGTTGATCCGGACGCTCAAAAGAGGCCGAAAATGGGTCACATAATACACATGCTGGAGTCTGAGGACCTGCCATCTCGCGATTATGTATGAATATTTATTCACCCAGCCTTGATTATCTTAAGTTCAACCTCTAAAAATATAATTATATCTTCTAATGTTAATTACAAAACATACGCTTGAGCTCAGATTAATTAATAATGAGAAAAAACAAATTAGTTTAAAGCTACATGAAGCCTGACATATATTTATCTAAAGTTTGTCTAGACATACCCTGTGAGACATATTTATTGGGCAAATACTTATTGTTTGTCAAATTATTAACTGCCATTTTTTTTTATGAAAAAGGATAAATTGAATGTAGTCTAGACTGTCTAGTACATAAATCATCATCTTTCCTGTTACTAAAATGGCTATATTCTAAATTTAGGAACGCAGAATTGTTCGAGAATCGTCCAGATCGTTCCGAGAAGACAAAATTCAGGGCCCACAGTCAGCTCATAAATGGAACACTGAAGGTATCTCTGATGATAGTGAAAAAGATAAAGGTAGATACCATAATATACCAACTCAAAGGAGATAATTATTGCGATTTGTATTTTAGCGATAAACAAGAATATCCATTCTAAACTTATGTATACCATTTCATTTCCAACTCTAATCTTATTACAATTGTTACCTTGTAAGATGCCTAAAGCATTCGCATATGTAAAGTGGGTGATTATTCTTTTTTACTCTTGTAGAAAATAAAACAAATTATTGTTTTGCATTTTTTTTTTATTTGTACATATTATCTTAGTGATCAACGAGTGACAGCCCGCTTTTTTGCGTGATTATATTATAGCTAATTAGATATGATTTCATCCCCTTTGTTTCAACAGTCATCACACTGCGTGTTGTGTGAGTGAGACGGCCATGCTTTACGACACTGCTTGTAGCGTATAGGGTCGAATCTCCCCTTTATACGGACTCGTGGGGGCCCTTATATAGTATATTTCACCTTATACACTTACACACACAATGTAGTATCTTCACNGGTACCAATTCATCTCTTAAAACGAGGATGCGTTTTTGTAAAACGTGTAAATAATAGCCTATATACAACATTATTGACGAGTGCTGTAATAACTAATAAATTATAACGGTTTTGCTATGGAGCCAACAGTTGGCTTCATAATGGAGTCAATCTTCTATATACATCAAATAAATCTACCATATTCATAAAATTATATTAATGTTATTTAGGTAATCAACGAATATGACAGATTTATTTGATGTATATAGAAGGTTGACTCCACTATGAAACTAACTGTTGACTCCATAGCAAAACCGTAAATTATAAACCCATGGGATAATATTACAACGTAAGCATTAAGTGTGAAAAACTTGTGTGGAGCAGCGCATTTGGGGCGGCATTTCTTTGGCATAAAGTGGACTTAGAAAAACAATGTCTATATCTCTTTTAAGGATAAAATATAACGTCAACTTTTTTCTAAAGCAATTACTTGCAATCTTCAGTAAGCTGTGGTCCACGGATTCCTATCTTCAAGTCACTTTATAATAATAATAATAATAATAATACTAATATGCAACCTATATCATTAAATGAGTCAATACGTAATACTTCTTCAGCAAAGATGCTTATTGTGTTATCAAAAAGCATGACTGTTAACGGTTAAGTCTACCTAACAACAATCTTTCATATCATTACAACATAAGATAATATTTATTGTTGCAGGTTTATAAATAGCATTATAGTAATTTTTATAGTAATTTTTTGCTAAAAATATTATTTGCTGTAGAAATTCTTTTCCATTACAAATAATTTACTATAGATTATTGTAATTGTAGTAGTGCATATTAATCAAATAATACTATCTCAATGTTGATTAATATTCATATTAATTAATCTAATGTATAATATTAACTTTCTCAAATTTTAAAATGTGGCCGAAAATATTCAATAAATAAATAATTTAATTAATTTAATGAATATTATTATATCTATATTTCTATATTCAACTTCTATTATTTTTATAGAAAAATTTATATATATCAAGATTTTACTGAAAAAAATTGTGTTTCCCTTTATGTTTTTCGGTTTAATCTTGACCGCTACATTTTATATTAATTGAGTACTAATTATATTTGTAACTATTTTATCATATAATAGTTATTATTAAAACTAATAATTATATTTTACACCAAATGGTATATGAAAGTTACAAACATGAAAAATTTTATTTTAAAGCTTTTTCGTCAATTTACTTATTTTTAAATTAATATTATCTTTTTTTTAACCTCTTAAGCGATTATTCTTTTTAGCAAATTAATTGATTTTAGTGGTATAGGCTAACCTTTCAAATAGCATCAACAATTGTTATAATATTAAATTTAATATTTTTTCAGCTAATTAGTTCATGATCCATCAAAATTATACAAATTATTTTATTTATTACATTTTATCTAATTAATATAGTGATTCATATAAAGTTAAGTCGTTCTATACTGATTAGTTTTATTAATGTTTAACTTTTAAAACATAATAACATTATATAAATTATAATTTTAATATTATATTAAAGTATGTAATTTATAATATTTTATTTAAATTTTTGCATGTACACACGATGAATACTAGTGTAATGATTAAGATTTAGGACCTGTAAAATTGTTGAATGATAATTTTACAACAACAATAAATTGAAATGGTTTAAAATTAAATAGTAGTAGCAACTAGTTTAAGGTAGGTTTCGCAAGAACTAAAAGTTAATCTATAACTTATTTAGTTAGTTTATAAATTCTAGTACTTAAATAAATCTGACTTTGAGGATACCTCTTTTAAAATGTTCGCCATTTAACTCATAGAGAATATTCTCTATGTTGTGTTTTTTATTGAATTTTTTATTTTAGCCAACTTATTAATTAATTTTAATAAATATTTTTTATTATATCAGATAAATTTTCAATTATTAATTATAAAATATAAATTTAAATTAATTTATAATCTGTTAGTTAACTCATTATACATATACCTCTTATCTTAAACTAGTAATCATCATGTGCCATATGCACAAAGATAAATAAAATATGATGAGTAATATGTGTGAGTTTTAAAATTATAGATAATGAACATGTCACAATTTCAAGTTTTGACCATTAGTAAAAGTAAGTTAATATAGATATATATATATAAATTATTTAATACTAGTATGTATGAATCATTATATTGACTGAAAAAAAATATGGGTCTTGTAACTTTTATAACTTGAAGGGATCATGATCAATTATTTTAGTTGAAAAAAACATCGTCATCATCATCATCATTATTATTATAGTAATAATTGTTTATAAGATTTTATAGTGGTTTGACTATGCTATTAAAAGTTTAAAACTATTCTGCTATTTTTTTTAACAAAATTGTTTCATAAGATACAAAAAAAAATATAATATTTATTTTTAGAATAAATATCTTGAAGAAAAATTTTTACAATAGAATTGTTTATATTTATGTAATTTCTATTTAGTGTGGATTGTTATTAGTTGGTATTCGCATAAACTATTATATAATAATAGTAAAAAACATATGATTAAACTTAACAGGGTGTATTAATGTGAAAGGTAAAAAAATTTAATAATTGAATTTTGTAACAAAAAATGGAGAGAAATTAAAAATATTTTTATTAAATGTTTTACCAAAAATTATAGATATAGTTCAATTGGTGACATAATCATCATCCAACAATATCCTACCGTTACATTGCCGCAGAATCCGATCTCCTGCTCGCGTCCCCACCGTCTAACCCTACATCGTAATCACCCACCTACCATTCACTCACATCACTCCCAAAGGCCAAAACACAATTCATTATTCATGATTTGGCGAAAAAGATTAAAGAAATCCTGTCTTTTTCCCCAATTCCTCACAACGCAAACCCTAACAACGTTTTGCTGAAGGCTGTCTCCAACCTTTCTCTATCTCTCTACGCTTATCCGTGTACTATTTCTGGTACGCTTCTCTCTACCCATTTCCCTTTTTTGTACATGCTGTTCTTTGTCTTGTGCTTGGAGTTCATCTTGAATTTTAAAGATAACGGCAAAGGTTTTTGTGCCGTTTAAATGGTATGCCAATGGAGACCTTATATTGTTGGTGAAGATTTTGTTTTTGTCTTTGATTGTTTTCTTTTTATGCGTTAACACCGTCGCTTTATGGAATTGCATGAATCCGTAATGAAAGTTGTTATATCTATGTGTGATGGGTTCAACTGTTGGAATTTAGGTTGGACCTAATTCTTAAGCTTTGAGAATCTGAAAATGGTTATTTGTGTGGACAAGAATTATTTGTTTGGTATCATTTAATCTTTGAGTTTCCTTGGTTGAATTGTGAAATGATGAAAGGATTTAGTATTTTTCTCTCTGAACGATCCCAAAATGAATGTATAATATTTTGTTTTTGTGTTGGGGGTTTGTTTGGATTGGTACTTAATTATTAGTATGTGTTATCTTGAGTTCGTTCTTTTCTATAAATGGAGGACTTGATGTATATGGATCACATCAAGTTGTTATTCTGAAGACGTCTGAATTTTAATTATGGGGAGTTCATGGATTTCACTTGTCCGTGAGCTTATATGGTGATTTTACTTATAATATATTAGATTCTTAAAAAGTAATTATTTTTAGTTGGGGTTGGTGATAGTATTGATGTTCCCATTTGATTCTTGATCACGAGACTCCTGAAAATGTTTTAGCCCAGACATGTCCTTTTTATTGAACGAATCATCTTTTAGAACTCCTCTGTTTGACTATTTCACTATTCATGTGAAGGCAACTCATTTTTCATTTAAATCATATTAGTGACCTGAAGCCTCTTGTTCTTCATACATTTTATGTCAACTATTATTATGTGAAAATTAAGAAAGAAGTAGACACCAGCATTACTGACTTTCTTCATCCATTCTCTGTCGTGTAATTTTATTTTTATTTTTTTCATTTTTGTCGGTCTCTATCAGTTAAGTATGCACCAAACGAGTCCTTCTCGGGAGCCACAGAAAACTTTCCTCCCGTTCGGAAACCCCTTCCGCACGATACTCCTCAAGGGCTCCCTTTCCTCCAAGCACCTCGATCTACTCAACACTTTCGAGGACACACTAACCACCAAACTCAGAGCACTCAAGCCTGCAAAACCAGAACAAGTCCTCTGCCTCTCGTGGATGAAAAACGCCACACGCTCGCTTTGCGAAACCCACGCGGACATTAAAATCCTCATCACCGCCCTCGAGCTACCCGTCCAAAACTGGGACGAGAAATGGATCGACATCTACTTGATCAACAGCACGAAGCTTCTAGACACATGCCTCGCCTTCACATCCGAGATCTCCCGACTTAGGCGTGCCCACCTCTACCTCACTTGCGCCGTGCACGATTTGAAAATTTCTTCTCCGAAAAAGTTAATCGAGGCACGTTCGTTTCTTGACGAATGGAGTCAATGTATTCGAGCCAAAAACCCGAGGCTTGACGGGTGCTTCTCGATTATGGAAGGTCTTGCCAAAACACTCGATGACGTCCCGAAAATAAAAAATTCCTCGAAAGGGAAAATCTTGATGCGGGCCATGTTTGGTGTGAAGGTGCTGACTCTCTTCGTGTGCGGCACGTTTTTTGCGGCATTCACGGGCTCTGGGAAGAAGCTGATTGATCTGCGGGTGCCAGAGAGTTGCTCGTGGGCAGAGGCTTTTGCTGATCTGCAGAATTTTGTTAATGCAGAAATTAGGAAGGAGTATTCGAGGGGAGTGTTCACGGTTTTAAGAGAAGTGGAGGAGGTGTACTCGTTGATAAATACATTGTTGTACCCTATTGTGAAAGATGGCGTTGGGAAAACTGTCGAGGCTGAAATGGTGTTGACAAAGATCGTGTTGGATTTGCAGGAGTTGGATGAGAAGTTGTATTCGGGGCTTAATGAGAAGTTGTATTCGGGGCTTAACGAGCTTGCGAAGGAGGTAGATGGTTTTTTCAAGGTTATTCTGAGTGGGCGAGATGCTTTGCTTTGCAATCTTCGGTTTGTTGGGGAAGTATCGGTTGAGGTGGCGAGTATGGGTGATGTGCGGGGCCAGGCCGTGAGGTGAAGGAGACTGTAAACTGTCTTGAGGTCTTTGTGAAGAAGATTGACCCGAAGGGGTTATGATGTGAATATGTGGATCAATAGTTAACGGGTGTTGAGATATGTGGATTTAGTAATTGTCAGATGTTGTGAAGTGTGTTATGTCAATTGGGATTTGGGGTGGCGTTTATTAACTAACATATCAATTTCAATTGGTGTGTTTGTTGCGTCCCATTCTGTGTAAACTTCAATTTCAAAAATACTACTAACAAATGTTATCAATTTAATTACTATTGCTATTGGATAAATTGCTTAGCCTAGGTTGTGTAAAGGAAATTAACATTAAATTGGACGATGGATATGCCACAGTGGCTAAGATAAATATTTTGTTTATTAAAAGTTAAAACAAAGAAATGTAGTCTTTGTACCAAAAAAGAAAAAAAAAAAAAGAAATGTAGTCTACTCTAGGCCATTGACAGACTGGATTTTGTTTTAAATAATCTTTTTCTTCATGACTTTTAAATGTTATTATTTTTAAAATTATATTTAACTTTCAATATATTTGACACATCTATATCTATATCTATATAATAAGAATTATCATTTTTAAAAAATGGCAGATCAACTATATGGTCAAATTCACTCATCATTAATTACTTTCCATTAATGACAATTTTTTTAAATATATCACAGACAGCATTAAATGCAATCTGTACGAGTTTGTTATATTGGATGACCAAAAAATGTGGTTGTCCTTTTATTGTAATCTTACAATAAAACTTACATCAATCTCATCGTAAGTTTAAAAAATACGATGGTACATAAAATCTCATCAATCTCATTGTAATCTTACAAAATCTCATCCCATAAAATATCTCATCGTAATCTTACAAAATTTCATCCCATAAAAAATCTCAGCGTAATCTTACACAATCTCATCCCATACAAAATCACATCATAAATCTCATCAACAAAAAGAATCTTATCACACTAAGTTTTTTTTTTTTAAAAAAAAATCTCATCCCCTTATCTATTGTAGAATATATTTTTTTTAAAATCTAGCATATTTTTTTTTTATAAAAAAAGACCTAAATTCTATTTACTAAATCCCTTATCTAGGATAAGATTTTTTTTTTAAAAAAAAAATCTAATTTTCATCTATCTAATTACTAATATATTTTCAAATATTATTAATATTATTAACTTATATAATATTTTAGATATTTTCTGCATTATTTGGACACAAATATATATATATATATATATATATAT